ACAGGATGTTGAACAATGGACCATTCCCTTATTAAACAATACAGCTGGAAAGAGCATCTTAAAATTAGTAAGAGTGGAAAGTTTAATGGCAGAATATTGTAAAGTGTGGAGAATATCAGCGTGCGAAGTTCGAAAAGATTTAACCTATCGCTGCTAAACTCTCCGACTTTACTAATTTTGGGAAGCTCTTAACAGCATCTTTCTCAAATATATTCAGGCAGTACGTCAATTTTAAAGAAACATCGCAGTTTAAATTGCAAACAAAGTGTTATCTTTTCTTATATTTTCAAGGTGTTTTGTGAAACAGTTTCTATATTGTTATACTTCTTTGTGCTCGCGGTATTTGGATGGATGTTGTGTGAAGGAATAGTTATTTACCTGCAACTTGTGAATGTCTACTCTGGATTGGGTTTGGGAAAGACCCATTTGAGGGTTTTCTATGTTATTGGTTGGGGTATGTATATATATATTATATCCAATCCTTAAACCTTGCTCCTTCGCTTACGCATGCATCCATTTGTCTGAAACTTCAACTTATAATAATATAATAACTTATTCTATCTTTAAGTCGAACTGCATTTCCTGAAACCTAATGCCGCAACGATGACCTTCCGATGACTATGAAAGAATGTTCTTAGTGACTAGCTATAGTCATCTCGATAGTCGAGTCTTCATATACATGCGATATAATCGTGTTCGTGTGCAGAAACACTGTGAAAGCAATAGAAAATACAAGCACAAGTTTATACTCCCGTACCCCCTATTACCAAGCTTTTGCTATATTGACAGCTTATTCGTTGCCCAACTTTACTCTATAGGTATTCCCATTTTTCTTGCTACCGTTTTGATAGCGGTTGCTGGTCCGGATGAGTTTATAACAAAGAGTACGTGTTGGTTTCCTGCTGCTGGAGGCTTGTTCTGGTCGTTTGTTTGCATCGTATCTCTCGTCCTTCTGGTACGTTTAATTGCTTTCACAGGCTAGTGATTAAGGTAGCTTATTATATGTAGGTGCGAGAAAGATGAAACTTTGACTCAGGTCAATTTTGGAAGCGTGGTTAATGATAAATGACCATTACCAGTGTATTTGCTTTACTCAGGCGTATGTGTACTGTACGCTCATAATTATAATGCGAAATGTTTAGCAATTCGTTCAAGTGACTATAATACCTGTAATTTTAGATCAATACATTCATCTTCATTTTGGCCTTAAGAAATTCGATATCAGCTAGCAAAAATAGCCAACCCTGCCCAGGAACACTACAAAGACGTTGTAGTGTATCAACCAAAGCAGCGGTTGGATGCAGACTGAAGAAAGTTAAAGTTGCTCTGAAAGGTTCGGCTATACTTCTTCCATTACTTGGACTCACGTGGACTTTTGGATTGCTGGTGTTCAATCGTGATACCATTCTATTTAAGTATCTCTTCGCCATTTGCAATTCTTTACAAGGGCTAATGATTTTTATTTTCCATGTACTCATCAATAAAAAGGTAAGTTAAATCATTCCAAATAGCACAGATGAGAATAGACGAACAGATATCCGAGTTGCTCAGTGATTTTAAGGATATTATAGAAGCATAATTTTGAAGGATGCTTTTTAGACTACTTCAAATAGTTTAGTTGTGTGGCAGACGTAAAGGTTTAAACTAAAATTGGTCGATAGTAATTTTTGAAATCTGCAAGATAAATAATAATAAATAAGTTTTCACGTTCTCCCATTAAGGAGGAAATATTTTTGGATTTATTTTATGTATATAAAAGCATAACTTAACCTGCGTTCACATTTTTAAGGTCTATGCCTATGGTGCAATCACCAGGGAAAGAAAAGAACCTTATAAATCTCATAAAATTTCTCAGTTGATGGTCAAAAATAGCTGTAAGTTTTTAGAACATCGTCTTCAAAACCCGTTCGAGGCTCGTTCGTTGTCTTTATTCATTCTGTAATTCAATTATATACACGTTTTATTAAGCCGGAGAATCTGATGGGAACAAGCATTCTCGACCAGTCGCAGCCTGGAGATCCAGGGAAAGAATATGCACTAACGTCGTAGCGCCAAAAAAAGAAGCCCCTAGTGGTCATTCGGAGAAAACAGACAATCTACAATTAAAGGAGATTGGCATGCCTTCTAAAGTAGATCCAGACAATTAAAGTAACCTTGTCGATAAAGGTCTTGACACTTCGGGCGTCGCTGGAAGTGTAATTATTGTAAATTTCATGATGCTCTGCTGTAATGAGAATACCAAAATTTGTTCAATTCTTTATTAGCTCGAAAGCACAGCAACTGTCTATATACCTTTTGCGCCGGTAAGACCAAGGAATACTTACTGAACATGAGCTACCTGCAAGCCACGTACTGCTGATCTAAAAACTACTGCATGGAACACCTTCCAAATTAATAGTTGTTATAATATTCTTGTATGTTTGCATGTATTATTAATAGTTGCATGAGCACCTACGGTCAAACATATTTAAAACCAAATAAGAGCAATTCCATCATTTCAGTGGTAAAATTTGCTTATAGTTATTATTGGTTAAGAAATTCCGCCAATTGCCATCATCGGCGTGTTTATACCGTTCGCTACATGGTATGGCTGCATATTCATACAACTCTTTTTTACACAGAATAACTTAAGTAAATACTTACGAGGTGTACCTACAAGCTAATTAATTTACTTATTGATGTCACCATGAAACATACAAGAATATTGCACTGATGTAGGCCCGGGTTAACGGACCGAAAGCTTAAATAGCACTGACAAGATTTTTAGGTCTTGGTAAATCAGTTTCCTAACTTTCCTTTGTTTGCGCGTCGGAGTTTATGATCTTGTCTAAAAGTACATACGACAATTGTGCCGCTAGAATATGATTACAAGCCTTAAATTCCAGGGGCCGGTTGTTCGAAAGGTGGATAAGTCGCTATCCAACGGATAACTCGCTATCCAACGGATAAGTTTTATCCAGCGTGTGATTTGCATTGCACGAAGCTTGGATAACTTTATCCAGCGGATAAAAATTGCTATCTACCGGATAAATTTATCCAAGGTCCGGAGGTAGTTTAAATCCACTATACAGTGGATAAATTCAAAGATATACAAGGTAACACTGTAAACATTTATATAAAATAGGACAAAAATGCAATATTCCTGTTACTGTGTTTCAACAAACTAATACACATCATGATTGTATTCACTATTAAAAATGTTTTCGAAGTGCATTTTGTCGCAGCAGCGTTTCACGTTGCCTGCACATTCCGTTCCGAGCGGCGATTTTTTGGACATCCTCGCATTTATAACAGGCGGTAAATTTACTATACGCTTCTAATCAGTTTATAAACGCGAATATGCAAAGAAAGATTCAACCTATTCCAAGGAAACTTGCTAATATCTAAGTATTTTCATTCACGAACATTAAAATAGTGTTCCTAAATTTGCTATGAAACCGAAAGGCAAAGCGTTGCAAGGTCAAGGACAAGGAATAAAATTGCAATGTGTTTATTTAACAAAATCACTATGATGTGAAGTGCAAAGTTCGAGCAAATCACTTGTTCAAGTCTTTTTCATTCAGTAACTATACTCGAAAATTCGTAAATGCTTAGCAACAGCTGACGTTGTGGTACGAAATTTCAGGATAATCCTGTTTTCTTCCGGTAAATTTTAACTTATCTATTGGATAGCTATCCACTTCACTATCCACGCTTCGTGCAACGCGTTTTTATCCAATGGATAATTAACCACTGAATAGCAGTTTTATCCGGTGGATAGGACTTATCCGTTGGATAAGTTATCCATCTTTCGAACAACCGGCCCCAGGGACCAAACGTCTTTTGTGTTTTTAAACAATGTTGTATTCATGAGAATATATAAATACTGTTATACGTATTGAATACTTTTACTACATCCTGCATATAGGTGGTGTGGCACTATTCCCATGAGACTTATAAGACAAAGAGATATTCGCTATGTTGAATAACATTTGAATTTCACAAAATCATCCAACATGGCGATGATGACGAAACTTGCACACTACCTATTGCACTTTCGGCGTTCTTCGTTCTGTCTTCGCTGATTGGACTGCTCGAGCAAGTACGCCTTTTTTGGCGTCACTTGTCATTCTCATGTTCTGGAGCGTGGTCTATGCAATATATGTTTCATTGCGGCCAGGATTGGGATCAAATTCAAAGCTTTCTTTAGTTAAACGATGTTTAAAATCAATTGTACACAACATAGGGCTGTGACAATTGACAAATGTGGTTAAGTCGTGTTTGCGCCACGAGACTGAACGAGCCTCGTCTCTCGTCTTAGCCCAGTGTTGAGCTACAAAACAGGAATATTTCCTTGGAAATCACTTTATTAGGGCTGACCGACTTGCCATAATATCAAAATAACTCTTCACTCGTGCTGTATTCAACATTCAACCAGGTTTGTATAATTTTTTACCTAGATTTTGTAAACGTATCTTGGCCTGACTCTGACAGTAGACCTGCATAACTAAATCGGAAATAACCAGTTGCATGTTTGCACACATTTACCATCGCTCTTTGCTTATTTTAATGTTTAGTGTACGGCTAAATTAAAGCAATGATGAAATGTTTATATAAAGCAGATCGCAGCTTTGGCATTTGTCAACACGAATTGTGGCAAAGAACAATCTGGGTCAGATCCATACACGTAAGTCAAGATTATTTTTTTGGAAGAATTTTCATGTCGTTGTTATATTAATTTATATTCAATTTGTGTGCTAGAAAACCATTGTTTCATCGATCCTCTATTTATTTGAAACTACCGGCAATGTTTCTTTTACGGCGGACTCCATTTTCGCAAATTAAAAACGTGTAGGCGTGGATAGCGTAAAATTTAAGAGGGAGCGGAGTTTGTCAGATTAGGTGCGGAAGATTAAGTGTTGAATTAAGTGCGGAAACAACATGGCGTCATTTTTTAATTGATTTTTTTTAATTCATTTGAATTTGAAAATCATTTGAATTCATTTCATTTGTATGTATCTTCTTCCTATATATACTTTATTCTGGTCGATTTATTCACTGAACTATAATCAGCTATGACGTTTTCCACTCCAATTCTGCTTCAAAACTCAATATTTTGTTTCTATTTCACGAATTCAAACCAATGACGATCTTAACAAAAGGGTTTCTGTAATAAACCTATATATTTCTTGTGAGCAACTGAAAAAAAATTATCCTGCATGATCCATATAGTTGAAAAACCAGTCTCAAACGTTGTCTTCCACATGGGTAACATTGATATATAAGTTCTAAAAATAGAGGAAGGATTTCAATCAAGGGTAAAATTAATATGTTCAGTTCTCACCGTTTTTTGTTGCAATAATAATATATTAGCTTTAGACTACCTTTTTATAAAAGGTATAGGCCGAATAGCTAGCTAATTTTTAAAGCTTCCACTAAATAAATCATAGTTATGCAAAGTTTTTAACAACATTAACATATCTTAGTATGCCTTCACGTCCGCGTTTTAGACTATGGTTTGGAAGCTCCAAACAAGCTATTGTTGTATGTTGATTGAAATTGGTTAACTTCCTCTTTGAGTGAACCAATCCTTTTGCACAATGAAACGTTTATTCAGTAGAAACTTTGGGCTCCACTTCCCAATGCATTCGTAACATTTTGAATCATGCAGTCCACGCGCGATCTATTCTCTTTACCGGTCGTAGACAATAATTGATTTGTGAATGTATACCTTTCTCTAACTCAATATACTTTTTATACCTCGTTGTCTGTAAGCATACCACGAAGTTCCTTCAATATTTTCGGAAAGGTTGGCCGACATTGTGGATTCTCTTCCCAACAATCTCTCATTATTTTATAGCTGAAATGAAAAGATGTAAACTGGTGTAATCATTTTTTTATAGAGAACAAACCATAAACTAGACGTATATATAACATGCCATTGGTATTATTTGTTGATAAATGTAGATATGATTATGTATAGATATGCATTTAAATAACAAGAGAAATGCTCCAACTCTTGATTAACGCTTTGTGACTGAACTCTTTGTTATTTAGAATCACGCGTCCGCGTGATCGATGCATACAACAGTGTGAAACTTAAACCGAGTATTATTGGCCCTTTTTGATAATAAGGCTATTAAAAATACTTTAATAATAATATCGCACTTACATTTCGCTGGAGCAGTGAGCTGGTTTTGACATTCGAAATCCAGAACCAATGCAAACAATAACATTATATGGAGATATGTTCTCGTATGGTTCTCCGCCTGGTAATATGATGATTTAGCATACGGTTAGATGGTGATTATCGGACGTTTCCCAGAAGATAAACTGATTATAAAACGTTATAAGATGAAGCGCTCTTATTCACCTAATCCTAGTGCATTATCATAACATCACTATGCAATACAGGATTTTAAAATATATCAATAAACCGTCGACGTTGCTACCTTTTAGTTTGGCTTGTTAGCTACTTCCAAAAACAGGCGATTTTCGAATAATTACTTACCGAGAGTTGTTATTTCATAAAGAAGAACTCCAAAGCTCCATCTGGTTCAAATTAAAAGAGAGATATCTTAGTTATACTTGGGATGACCATGCATATGGAGAAAACGTTATATAGTAAAAGAGTAAAATGTCATATCTAATCCACAACGTTACTTTTTGCAAGCAAAATGACACAGAAAAAATATTCGGTTTTAGCATTTTTGCACAAGTGAATATAACAAATCCTACATTCTGATTGGTCAAATTTCAAAATGGCGGCTAGCCTAGAAATAAGAGAGCAGTTCTTAAATGCAGTTCTTGTATTTTATAGGAAACCGTTTTTTTCAGGCATTTCCATTTTTTCGCGTGAATCAACTCGTTATATTTATTCATTTCACGAATTTGGACTTATAGAAACACATTTGGGGCGTGTAAATCGTCGCCATTTTGCTAACTACAGTCATCGATATGCGCATGCCTGAAGGAAAATAAGTTGTTGAGCAGTATATAACTCTTCCAACGTTTCATGAATTTTTGTCAAAGTTTGCAGATTAGCTTTTGAAAATTTTAAAAACCGAGACGAGGAAGCTTACTATCTAACAGAAGTTACTCCTAACAGAAGAGGGGTCGTGCAAGATTTGCACTCACTGAAAGTAACAACTATTTTAGCACATTCAAAGCACCCAGAGTTTTTCTTTTTTGTCACTTCAAACAATTATTTTATAATCAATCTGACTTTTCGAGTCAATTTAGTTGACCCACGATGGTTGCATGTCCGCAGTTCATTTGCCCGTACAATCATGCATGCAGTTATTTCATAAAGAGATAGAGATATTTTATAAACGAAGCAAGATTTCAATAAACAAAATACTATAAGGTATAATTATAGCTATAATTGCGTATAAGGTAGGGATAATTTTAACATATCTTTTTTCAACAAAGCTAATTTAGTTTTACCCTTAAGAAAACGAGACTCCTTATAACGGCGAATAGATCGGATCCGAGTATATGCAAATAACAATACTAAAAGCATTATTTTATTAATCAAGTAAACAATTCCCCACCGTACAACAACGTTTGACAACAAAGTTTAAACTATTGACAACAAAGTTTGATTTAAACTATTGCGAGTTTTGCATATTTAACATCTCTATAGAGAATGCGGTATATATACTTACACATCACTAGCCGTTGTAAAACAACCATGAAGTAAACTTTCAAGAGCCATCCATTTCACAGGAAGTAGGTTCTACAATTATGATATAATTACTATATTATGCGAAAACAAGACGTGGTTTAGACGAAACGAGTTGTCACCTTTAATGCCTCATATGTCTTACGTCAGAAGCTAGGGTATACAGCTTATTCAATTGGGGTAAAAGGTAAAATTTGAAACATAGCTACTTCAATATGAAAGATTTTCAGCGTTTAAAATATGTCCACATGCATGTACCCCATCCAGTTTGACCTGGTGATATTTGTCAGTGTGTATACACGATAGTATGTATGAAAATATGCACTGCGACGTAGTTTGACGTAGTTTTGGTAACTGGGTGCATTGGCCAATAATTTTTCAGCATGCGTTCAAACTACGTCACAACGCAGACTTAATTTTAATAAAGAAAGATTTACTAATTCAGGCACGTCGATATTACCTGATGAGTTCGTATATATTCTTCAGCACTTCCAATATCTCTCGCCAAACCAAAGTCAGCAATTTTTGCCACTTTCTGTTTATTAATCAGAATATTTCTGGCCGCCAAATCACGATGGACAAACTAAAGAGAAATAATACTTGTATACAGTGCTGATCAGAAGTATTCGAATACCATTTCTACAGACGTCATAAAAATGCTCATATCTACTTTAAAACAAAAGCAATTTGTATGAAAATTTTACATGTTACAGAGCGAGTTTTTCGCACTGTTCACGAGTTATTCTAATTTACTATTTTAAACCGAAAGTACATTTTTAACCAAGCAAGTGCCATTTATTGTTTTTTTATAAAGTTTACTTGGGATGTTATTTGTGAGAGTATCGATGTTTTAGGAAAAATGAATAGTAAAGTGTTTAAAGTGAATAATGCCAGTAAGTTGCGTATAGTTTTCAAGATCAAATTATTTCCTGCCAAAAATAACAAAACATTTAAAATTTTTTTTTTATTTCCATTCATTTCTATGCCAGTTCTGTGTTATTAAGGATGTATCTGGAATAGATTCTATTAATGTCAGTCAATATCTGTAATTCACAACCCCAAAAGACCCAAGTTGTCGGGTTTTAAATATTTAGTGATTTTAATGCTCATTTAAGAATTTGTGCACCTAAAAACTTTTTGTTGCACAAAAAGAATTATTTTGAAAATAACAACTATATAACATTCTGGAATGGAATAAAGTGAAACAGTTCTAGGAATCAAGTCAATACGGTCATATTTGAATTTTGACAAAGTAGTGGTAGATGCCACCTTTTTGGCCATAAATGTACTTGAGAGTGACCAATTAATTCCTAAAACTGCTATAGGGAGAGCATCATATCACGCTATATATAACTCTTTTGATCAGTACTGTACTTTATAAAAACCTTTGGATAATCTTTCTGAAAGGAAATGAGAGAACTTCCATGCATGCAGTTCCCTTATTTATAAGTACACTATATCCACGTGCCTTGTTAGCAGAGAGATGAGCCATTCCATTGGCAACGTCTCTGGCTATTCTTAACAGTTCACGATGGTCCAAGGTTGATTTTATATTCGCGTAAATTGGAGTTAAGATTTCTGAGTCACTACTGACCCTACTTTTGATCAGGAATTTTTTTAGATTTCCATGGAAACAAAACTCCGTCACCACCAACAGTTTTCCTAAAGCAAATTTTATGTTCATTTGACAAGTTGTTAATCTAAATCATTATAATTTAAATATGATGTAATAAGAAGCACTAGCGTATTAATTCAGTTAAAATCAAACGATATAAAACTTTGGATATAATTTGCATAACGTATATGTCCGGATTCCCGAGAAAAACTATAACGTAGCTGCATGATTTCATGTAACATAAAACGCCTATAAAAACTTTTATATTATTTAAAAAGGATTTATTCGATAACGTTATACGTGGATTTTGAAAAATGAAATTTCATAAAAACCTTCAAAGAAACAGCCTCCGATGAACTTTATTACATTCGGATGTCGTTTATTGTTGGCTTTTTTCAATATTTTTATCTCCGATAGTATACTGGATAATTCAGATTCCCTATGGTTTTCTGTAAAACAATAAGTAGATTAGGAAATACATAATATAATAGCTATCTATTTCCATTGAAGTAAAACGGATGAATGTTTCCAGTAATATTAGAAATACAGTGCATTTTAACACATATATGAAAGACCAGAGGATAAAGCGATGATGGTATTAACCAAATAAAATCAAAACTAAGTTTTCTGTAATTCAAATTCCCTGTAAGTCAAACAGGGAATTTCGTCTTTTGGTGATGTATATTAATGCTTAAAGAGTTTTTGAACAACATGTACAAACTCAAAAATCAGTTCTATATACCTCTCAACATTTTTACAGCCACATCTTCTGGTTTGCCAGAAGCAGGATGTGTCCATACGCCTTGTTTTACAATTCCAAATTGGCCTTCTCCAAGGTTTATGTCCATCACGACCAAACTGTTTGGCGAGATCTCCCAGTCTTGTAAAACAATAATGTAATCAACCGTCTCTTGCACTAATTGTAACAAAAAGAGAATTGGACGACATTTGAAATGTACAAAAAGCGTCAAAACAAAATCATAGACCAGATCTCCTAAAACAGAAATTCTAGTATGTTCAAGATTTATTTCCTTAGCTTGCAGTAGTGACACCCTTACACCTATAAAAACTTTTATATAAATTGCAAAGAATTCTATTCGATAACGTTAAACATGGGTTTTGAAAAATGAAATTTAATATACTGAACCTTGAAAGAAACAGCCTCCGAAAGTAACATTTTCTAGACTGAGCTGATCCTTGATAACAAGTTAGATAAAAATTTGAATCCTTGATATTTTTTGAATCAATAAATGAAAATGTTTTTAATTTTTTTATAGCTGTTTAAGGCTTTATAAAGTTTTGTTAAGCGCAATCCCTTCAAACCGTTGGGTGATGCTGGCTCTGAGCTTCTCATCATTTCCTCACGAACAAATGCAAATAAAATAAAAGTTTCCTTAACAACATCAATCCAAAATATCATACTACACAGGAATCAGTGTTCAAATTAGAGGGGGAGCACTTGAGAGAAAATAAATATTTTGGGGGCCAAAACATATTGTCACGCCTCTAATCTTAGCATAGCAAGCCTTAAAATTGCATTTAGAACTTTATTTCTTTTTCCTACCAGTTTAGATATTTGATTCCATGGTTATTTTAATGCTCAATTTGCATGCTATATGTGCGCGTATTCTAATTTGTAGTTACATATTTCATTTTTATGTTTATCATCTGTGATGCAATGTCATCATTGCTGCAGAGCGAGCGAGCCTGAAGCGAGCGAATTTGTGCAGAAAGGGAGTTCTGAACTAAATTTTATTTAGCGCAAGTAATTGTGGTCGTGCGCGTTTTTTATGCGCAGAACACAAATTTTAAACTCGCTCATATCCATTTACTTTTTGATTTCGACGGACAGGATCTTCAAATTTTTGTCAAATTTTAAAGCTTCTGTTCTATTTTGACTATTCAAGGTAAGATATTTTGTCTTTCGTTCATATGTTACGTTTACAGTTGATTACAAATTTAACTTCTATATATTTATGAAACGCTAAAAGCATACAATCGATCGCAGCTAGATTCATACTGTTTATATACGATACACTATATATACGCGATATATACTATCCAATGTGCTCACTGCTAATTCGCTTTGCTTGAGCAGTTGAGCCGTCAGTGCTGTGAAGCAAATCAAGTCTTACATACAAGTCTTTTTATCCTTTGGCATTTGTATTCTTTTCCTGATTTCCATATTTTGCATCAAGTGATGTTTCAAGTATGCGGCTTGACGCTTGCGAGTCGTGTTAACATGACACAGTCACAGATAAAATATGCAATTGATCGTCTAAATTGCCTGACTGAATTATTCAGATTCGTGCAATGTTTGACCTATTTTATATTAAAGCATAGGGCCTGTATTTTCGCTAGGCGGAATTTCGCCCGAACAATATTTTCCGCGCGGAGATTGGAAAGTACAATGCTGTCAACTTTGTTGCGGTGGAAAATGTCGCTGCGCGCGCAAAATTCTGCCTAATATTACTATCATTCTTAATACTCCTGTTTTATCTTTTTGCTTAGCAAATTTACTCGCGAAATCATAATATAAACCAGCAGCCTATTTCAAAACAATTTCGAGATAAAAGTTAGAACTTGAACTATTGAACTACACAACGATGTTTTTCATACGAACTACATTACATAGCATATATTGACCTATAATGACGTCATTGACAGTGTTCTCGCTAACAGGTATAAATTTATGTACAGCCCCAGCGAGTTAACGCTCAAAAGAGGTTCACTTTACGTGTTTTAAACCTGCTATTGCATGCTATTAGTTAAAGCGGATTTAGTTTACTAATATTTCATATAACAATTCACTTGGACCCTAAAATGCTCGCAGCAATCCCTACCTTGCAGGTAACCTAGTTCTTATGCTTATCTGTGATGCAATGAATTAAACTGATAGATATAGTTTGACTTAGCATTAAGGTGGCTCCCTACAGTTTTTCGAAAATTCTAATGCACATTTTAAACAGGGATATTCAACATCTAAACGTTTGACTAGAAGACTAAAATTTTATATAACTTTCTGGCAACATACCTAGAGTCGAAATCTATTCAAAACTTGTGCTCGGCAGCCGTTGCTATAGCAACAGAGACGTTCCAAAATGGCCGCTAAAAAGCCTTCTTCATGGTCGAGTATACCGGAAAACGGTACACTCCGCCATGGTTAAGTATACCGGAAAACGATATACTCGACCATGGTCGAATATACCGGAATATGGTGTTCCATGGTCGAATATGCTGAAAAACGGTATACTCGACCATGGTCGAATATACAAACACCAAAGAAAGAGATAAAATGGGCATAAATAAAAAATTTTCAAACCATTGTCTCTAGACAGCCAATAGAAAAAGCTTCGACTGACTGAGTTAAGTTTGAAATACCGACGTGCGTGAATAATAGTATTCACCTACCGGCACTTCTTTCTAAACGCATGAGTTCTATGGTTTCCACATCGTTTTCTTTTAAATGTTCCTTTTCAGGCTAAATTGAAAAGATTGAAAGCATATAATCTCTCGTTTGAAGGTCGTTCTCATAGAATTAAGTCCTATTCAAGTCTATATGGCCAAAACAGTCTCCAAACCTTGCATTTCTTATTTTTATCATTTCAGTTTTAAGAGTTTAATCTTAATTATCACCGTTTCATGTCTGCCAGAATAGTCAAAACATCCCCATGTAAAAGAGTCGTTCTGGAGTTGAACTTGACCCCAGTGTAAAAGTATTGAAATCTGCAGAAAATACTTAAAAGGCTTTTTCTCTTGTCTGTAGTACTCAATAGGGTGAATTTTTACTTCATGAAATTTAATGGCGAAATAATAATATAGAAATTATTTATAAGTTTGGCAACTAAAGATTTAGGTAATACCGTCATGGATTCCTCTTTTGGTCTATTGTGGGATCGTCTTCGCAGAAGCAGGTAAACAACCAGCCCGAGAGCAAAAAGAAGAACGAAACCTGCAACACTTCCTGGAATCTTTGCATCCAGGTCTGCTTGCCCTGCAGGAAGATTGGATAAAAACATAACTTCGGTCTTAAGAGAGGGCTTTTTTATAAACAATCGCTCGTGAGATGATACCAAAATGGAATAGAAACCTTATAGCTCGATTTTCTGATACCTAATACATGGTAACTTAGACAATAGATCTTTCCCCTTCTAGCTTTCAAGCGCGCAATGCGTGACGGTAGTTGATTATCAAGGTCAATTTGAGTTGTGATTTTGTCATGTTTAGAAGCGATTTAGTTTAATGAAGAAATAAAAAGAATCGGCAAGGTTTTCTTACAAACAAAATCGCTTCTAAGCAGAGCGATATCGCAACTCAAAGTTGCTTGATAATCAACTACCGTCACGCAATGTGCGCTTGAAAACTAAAAGGGGGGAAAGGTCTATTGAAGAAGGCCCTCTATAGTAGACGTATACGATGGAATTAAAAATCACTATTGGAGATTGAACAGCCGGTATGTACAGGATATACAGATTCCGCTAGTGATCCTTAGTGTCCATGCATGCTGCGGCGTTATTTTGAAACCATACACTGCATACTGTTGTTCTATATTCTATAACTTATATATATATATATATATATATATAACTCGTTGTTATCTTCATTGTAGTGTATCTCACTAAACCAGTTTTCAACACAACTGGAACTTTGAAGGTTTCTGTAAAAATTAATAAAAATACTGATTATAATGTAAATTGCCAGCATCTCATCATTTTTTTCAAGTTTCGTCAACGTTCAATTCACATAAGAACAATCGTGCTTGCAAAATAATACAAAGACGACGCTCAGGTTAATCCAAACCTTCCTTACTATATGCGTGTAAATGCAATTTATATCTTTCTTTTTATTCTTAAGGACAAGAGCGTCAGTGGAAGTTTTTTATTTATTTTACTTGATTATTAACGGGATTAGAAAATATTTAAGATAACAGCTAAAAAAGACCCCTATTAACTTCCTGTAATCGTGGCTCGTCGCGGCACTTGATTGGAGCAACTTTTTTGGCGATAAACAAAAAGTTGTTTTTTTTATTGACCAATGAATTTAATAATGCTCTAGTCGAGTAATTGTGATTGGGAAATAGAGCGTTGCGGACTTTTCAACGAACATCTGCAAATATTTTATGAACTGCGTCAATCGATTGAAAAATGCGAGCAAATAAATTAGCTGATGTTTTTCGGAACGTTCCTTTTCTTTCCGCAAATGTATTAAATGCATGATGATTCCTCAAATAATTTTCTGGATCCGACTTTTGTTTATTTAAAGAAAATAGTTAAAAGTAATAAATGAATATTGAATTTATTTAGATATACTTACTTGGTCTTGTAGAGGGCGTTGCGTTGTAGTGGTCAATATTTATTGGTTCTAACCGGTCTAAAGTTTTTGCATAAAGGGGTAAAATAAATGCCATTTGTGAAGACAAAATTGTCGAAATGACTATAAAATTGACTGTATAACTTGGTAACGGAATTGCACTATAGCATAGTAAAGTTTACTGAGCCATTTAACTTATTTACTGCGGCAATCCATATCGATTGGTGTAGCTATTGATAACAGCATTTGTACTGTGAAATTAACTGAAATATTATGACATGATTATGCATGCATTTACCCAACGAAAATTCATTGAATTTACTAAGTCACACCTGGTTTAGTTGCATCATGTTCCGTAGAAACTTGTATCTGAGTCTTGAAATAAAGTAAAGAAGTAATTTAGAAACATTTTGTTAAAAACATTGATTGGATCTTGTAATTTATAGAAATGTGGTAGGTCGTTGCAGGAGCCAATTATGAATGCGACGAAAATAAATGTACCATAAATTTTAGCGTATAAGTAGCTGTTCAGGACAAATGAATAATTCAAATTGCAGCCTTTGTCTGTTTTTGCATTTGAACCACTATACGCTTTTTTACTCACCAGACGGAATATAGTAAATGTTGTTGATTGTATTGAGTTTGTTACATTCCTTTAAAAGTGTGCCGCCGTTTATCGCGAGTGTCTTTCGACTTTCCTTGTCGTATGCCGTAATGAATGCTGTTGACATGCAATCATCTGTCATATTAAATGTATATTCTCCACCAGCCGATACATATATTATTGGATTAGCCAAGCCCTTAGCAGGAATGATGATTGCAATACTGATGATTTAAGCATGACGGTTCCTTAATGTGAAATACCAACGGAAAAGTACTAAATAACAAAATTGATACAGAAGAAAACGTTAGATTATACGAAATCTCGTCTTCCAACCAGAACAAAAGCCACTAAGCTGATATACCTCGCATATGAACTATTACATCTTTCGTCTTTAGATATCAATGCTGTTGTAGATAAGCACGTTGTATTTTCCAACTCAACTATAGTATTATTTAATTATTCAGTATATTATTGCTATTATTATTTACTGTTTAGCCAGTTTAGGAGGTACGTACTGAAAAAATTAAATATTCCTGAGGTCACAGAAGCGGTTAGGCAAAAAACTGAAACTGAAAGATTTGCAAGTACGGACCGACCAAACGGAAAATAACGTATAAGCCCATAAATTCATTGTAGCCACGAAAAAATTTTGCTGCTAACTTTAGAGAATAAAGTCATTTACATTTCGTAATTAACGAAAATAACTAAACTATACCTTGTTTCATCATGTTAGTAGGTGTTATTGTAGTATTCTCCATAGTAGCTTGATTTGTTGACGCTGAAACTCGATAAAATGAATTAAAATATTATATATTGAAGGACAAAACAAGTTTTCCGAATTCCATAATGTATAATGTATCTTCATTCCCCCTAGAGGTGAGTAAGAAAAGAGCCTACTTGAATATTTTTCATAAAAATATATTCTGTAATTAGTTTGTAATGACGTAGAAAGCCGATCCATCAACATATCAGTCACATCTTTTACAGATACCTTCAGTAGCATAGCCAGCCTAACGATTTGTCCCGCTATGCTAATATTTTGTTGTTCATTGACTGTGAAAACAATAAATTTCTAAGGAAATGAATAGTTATAATAACTCGAAATTTACATAGCGGGACCAAATCGTCAGGCTGGCTACGGCTACGAAACTGGATACCTTTAGGAAAAATGCAATTTGAGTCACAACTTGTCTCAACGGGGACATCAGTTGCAGGATTTGTCTTTCCATCTGGTACTGCGGTTGGAGATTCTGTTATCACTTCAGGAGCTTTTGTTGTCGCTTTAGAAGAAGCAGTTGATACTTTTGTTGTCGCTTCAGGAGAAGGAGTTGTTACTTCAAGGGGTTCTGTTGTTACTTCAGGAGCTTTGGTTGTCCAATCAGGAGCAGCAGTTGACACTTTTGTTGTCACATTCGTAATTTTTGTTGCCACACTAGGAGCTTTTGTTGTCCCTCCAGGTACTTTGCTTGTCCCTTCAGGGGCTTCTGTTGTCACACGAGGAACTTCTGTAATCACGTGAGGAACTTCTGTTACCACATGAGGAGCTTCTGTTATCACATGAGGAACTTCAGTTACCACATCAGGAACTTCTGTTATCGTATGAGGAACTTCTGTTATCACATGAGGGACATTTGTAGCTAATTCAGGATCTTCGGTTGTCACATAAGGAACTTCTGTTAACTCACGAGGGACTTCTGTAGCAAATTCAGGACCTTTTGTTGTCACATAAGGAGGCTCTTTTGTCACAAGAGGAACTTCTGTTGTTAAATAAGAAACTTCTGTTGTCACACGAGAAACTTCTGTTTTCACTTCTGGAACAGCAGTTGATATTTTTGTTGCTACATTTGAAGAATCGGAAGCTGTCTTAGCTTGTGGTTTTATTGCAACAGCAGCATCAGTTGGTGCTCGTGTTCTTTCAACAGGGGCATTAGTCGGAGCTTTCATTTTCACGAGAGAAAAAATTTAATTAGAAATTATTGTAATTAATTGTTTACGGAAAATTGAAGTGTATTGTTTACGGAAGCGAGGAAAAGCGTTACTATAAAAAAATGCACGAGTTACTATAAACAAATGCTTTGCAATCCCTGTACCTTTTCGTTTCAACCCAAACATTTTATTCCCCCTTCCTCACAATTTTTTTGTTGGTAAGATGTCAATTTCGCATATGAATATAAAAGAATCTTAAATCAAATCACCTAAATCAAAATCGGAAGAGCATCAGTTAGCCACGGAGCTTGTGTTACTGCAATAGAACCAAGATAAAGAAAGGGCTACGCAGGATTGTGTTTCAGCTACTTTACCCGTCGCGAGCCTAGTCAACTTGTTTTCTACCCATGCAACTGAATGTAAAGATGATTTTTGTTGCCACAAAAATTTCCATCTTTGTGAATGTGGGTAAATAAAATTTTTACTACTTCCTTTGAAAACGCTCATTATTTTCCATTTTACACGAAGTATTACAAAATTAGGCATTCTGATTGGCCTGAAAAATACAACAAATATGCTTCGTTTTACATATTCACACTGTAGCTCCTGTATGATAGCTAGCCTGCAACAATCTTCTCGATATGTTTCGCGGCCGTTTTTTAAATTAAAGGTTTCAACCAATAGCATTTTGCGGTCTGTCACGGGCGAGACAAAATACCCCGTAAGGTTATCGTTTTGGAAACTTGTCCCGGGTAAGGTTATCGTTATGGAAACCCGCTTGACTGAAAAGCACTCTATGAGTCGCGTACGTTTTGTCGGGTCATTAATTGTCGAAATTTATTATTGTTTTTCTACTAATTTATAAAACATCAGCAAATTTCATGATTTGAAAACTTTTTTGGTTTTCACATCTCACGTTTTTCGGCTTAAATAAAGCATAGATAAAGTGCCCGTGCATTTTTACCGCCAGAACGAAAAAAAATCGGCGTGTAAATGGCCCGCAGCCCCTTGTTCATACTTTCTCATAGGAATATATTCAAAATATTCCTTCATGCTCTTAGCCGGAATGGATTTACTCAGAGGTTTTTTAAAACATGATTTGGACGGTAGAATTTGAATGTCAGATTCTTTTATTATACAATATACAGTGTTTTATTGACGAATCCGCCATTTTGAAAAGGGATAATAATACATGTGCGATTATTCATGATAATAACACATGTGCGATTATTGTGTTTGATCCATCGAATCAGGAAGGGGGGATAAAAAACTTTTCAAAAAACCCAGTTTTTTATTATATAATAAACAGAATGATACATGGATGCTTGAAAATAAGGAATTTATTTCTCGTGTAGAGAAAGATGTCTCACTCATTCGCTGCGCACACTTAGCATTGTAGATGTGGTTACATGCGAGCTTGGTTGCTACATGTGACAGAATATAAATTGTTATATAATATGCCGTGTTTTATTGGGTAACTCCACCATTATGAAAAGCGATAATAACAATGTCACATGCATGTGCGATTATTCATGATAATGTTGATTATCGTGTTTGATCAACCAATCAGGAATCAGATATACGCGCCCTGGGGGAAAAAACTTCTAATAAAAACAGATTTATCTTATATAATAGAAACAAAAATACATGGATGCTCGAAAATATGGAATTTAATTCTCATGTTCTCGTTCACTGCGCTCACACGTTTGATATCATTTTCAACACTCGAAATAAATTCCATATTTCCGCGCATCCATGTAAAATTCTCTATAAATACCTGCATCAGTGGGAACTCTTTTTGGAATAACAAGGACGTCAGTGAGAGCTTTTATTGTTGTAGTCTTTTTTCTATTTCTTCTTCTTTTGTTTTTTCTTCTTCTGTTTCTTCTTTTGTTTATTCTTGTTTTTCTCTTTTTGCTTCTTTTTGTCGTTAATACAGCCACATGAGTAGGTGCTTTTGTCGTTAATACAGCCACATGAGTAGGTAGTTTTGTCGTTAATACAGCCACATGAGTAGGTGCTTTTGTCGTTAATACAGTAGCATCACTTGGTGATGTTGTTTTTAATACAGAAGTTACAGTAGGAGCTTTGTTTGTTGTTATAGACACATCAGTTGCTGGCGCTTTCGCTGTTCCAACAACATGATCAGTAGAATCTTTTGTTGCTTTTATAGGAGCATCAGTTGTTATAATTTCCGCAGCTTTAACAATACAGAGTAGAATTTATGTATCTAGTAACCTATCTATCTAACTCGGGGCCAATAAGCGAAGCGCAATTTTTATCTAATTCATTTCATTAAGACCATTTGGTAATTTGTCAATATAATGTAATTTTTAGGCCTATGATTAGGACATATTCAGGGACAGGAGGAGTAGAATCCGAATGAAAGCGCTAGTTAAATTATAACAACATATGTATAACCGTAGGCGTGGCATAGCATCAGGATGTAAAGTACGAATCGCCAAGTATGAACTAGACAAATACTAAACAATTTTCTACATTTTTTAAACAATTTTTATCGATATAAATGAAAGCATTTGTAAATATTTTATTCATTTTATGATAACATTTTTCTAAACGATATTAGACAGTTAAATTCAATACGTTTTGCTGTTGATATAGTTGTTGTGAGTGATGGCTCGGATTGCATGGATGACGGAATTAATGCCCCAAATAGTTTAAACTCACCTGAAGGAATATAGTAAATATGACTGACTGGTATCGAACTACTTATTAAAATCAAGGAGTTCTTTCCGTTTATCTCATGTGGCCAAAAAGACGCTGCATCGTACGCTGCGACGTATATCGGTA